AATCTTGTTACGATAATGTTAGATATGAGATTAGAGTCTGTAAGACAGACCAGGCAAGCAAACCAAGGCCAGAGTCAGCCCAGGTAGGCCGGCTATTCATTTTGTTGAGGTTACTAATTAGAACTTGGATTTTTTTTTTGCAAAGATTTAAAGAAAAAGCGAAATAGGGAAAAGAGAGGATGCGTGCAAAAGGAGCGATTGATAAGAGGCAAGAGGGGAGGTGTGAAAATGACGAGTCGTTAGAAATAGCGATCAACGATTCTTCGGTCATATCGGTGGAAAGGATGAGAAAAGGGAAAGAAAAACTCTTTGATATGAGGAGAAAGGGGAAAGGAGAAACATCAAGGCTTTAAGGAAAACATCAAGATTTTAAAGGAAACATCAAGATTTTAAGGGAAACATCAAGATTTTTAATTTTTTTTAAATCTTTTCAGCTAACAGATCTAATAGAAAATTTTACTCTCATTTACTATACGAATGTGGTTTATTTACTGGTGTACTGTAGTTGTGCTTTGTCAATCAAAATCATGCAAAGTAGATCCTTTTTCTTGGACAGAATTTTGATACGATAATGTTAGATATGAGATTAGAGTCTGTAAAACAGACCAGGCAAGCAAACCAAGGCCAGAGTCAGCCCAGGTAGGCCGGCTAGGGCTAGGCCCGATTTCTAGTGGTTTACGACTTTTTGTGTGCTAATAAAGCCGGACCAGGACCAGAATCTACAGTGCAAAGTTGCAATGAGTTTGTGCATTCTGTACAAGAGACTAAGCCCAGTTTGTTGCCCTCAATCTCATTTCGACTACAATCAAAGTACAGTCTACCGTACAAATCTCCTCTCTAGCCTTTCTTCTTCTCCATATTTTCGCTTCATCGGCACTTGTTTACGCTTTTCGTACCCCAGCTCTTTTGTTTAATTGTTTTCATTGTTTTGATGATTCGACAGTCAAAACATGCAAAATATGGGACCACAAAACGGAAAAGAAAACGAGATGAGTCCAATATGGAGGCTAGAGTGTGCTTGGGATTTTGATGGTGGTGATCTTCGATCATCGACCTGTAGAAAAGGGGAAAAGAAGAGCAATTGGGGCAAAAGGGGGAAATGCAGTTGTTTGTGAGAAGGTAAAGAAAAGAAAGGAAAAGAAAGAAAAAGAAAGGAAAAGAAGAGAACTGGGCGCACAAAAGCCCAAACAAACAACACACGCACTCCTTCGCCTTCTTCGACACTCTTTTGAATCTTCTGTAAGAAGAGGAGTGCGTGGCAGCCCCCTTAGAAGCCCTTTTGAGAGACTACGTGCAGTTCTACTATGTTTTTCTAATCAGAACTTTTTACCACTTGATCACAAGCTTCAAAACCATATCTTACTGTAAGTTCTGCCCAAGCCTGTCGCCAGCTTTTGGCCTGGTTCTGACCAGATTGGCTCTATAGACTGGTTGAGATATCCTTGATCTCAAAAAATGCTCTCTAGAGCTTCAAAAGTAAGCTATGTAACTGTCCTGTCAACTTTTATGAGTCAAATTTGAGCATACCGTATCTAAATCCAAAAAGAAGCCTGACCCATCTCGTAGTACAGAAAGAGATAGATAAAACTATCTGGCTATCTTCTCTAGTTACTTAATGCATCTCTTGACACCCCTCTTCTTTATCTAAACCCTTTCAAGTCCCATTCTTCCATTGAGCTTTCCTTCGTGGCAGCCCTTTCCCTTAGAACTCTTTCCTTTTCCATTCCAAAAACGACACCTCGCACCGATCGTTGAAAGAAAAAGGAGAAAAGAGCTGGGGAAACGGCTGAAAGGAAATGCACACTAGCATCTGCGCAAACACAAACAACGAAAGGCCGATTGCACGAGAAAAGAAATGCAAATTTCGGCTGGCGTCGATCCCCGTCGCTCTTTCACAAACGTTTCCCCTTTTCGTTTATCGTGATCTCTGTCTTATTGTACGATTGAAATAATACGATAGCTGGAATAATGGGACTAGCGTCGAAAGTTGGGAAATTATTGATTTAAAGGTTTTCATACATTCGCTTGTTTTTTTTAAAAGGTGCGCTCGAAAGCTACCGTATCCCAATTAATGATCCAGATCATTAATTGGGACTACTGACTTCATATAGACTGAAATACTTGAATTCAAATTTTTCAAAGCCTGATGACGGCAGATTTTCCAACCAAATTACTGTAGTTTTTCTATAGCCAGTTTACGTTAGCTCACACCCGGATTACTAACATTTACACTGCTGAATTACGATAGTTTTTTTCCACAGCCTTAATACGGTAGCTTGTCATAATCGATTACAGTAACATAATCGATTACAGTTACAGCTGGATTACGGTAGTTTTTTCCACAGCCGCAAGCGAACCTTTTACAAAATGTAAAAGAAAACAATCTGCTAAAAATAGATTCAAATCTAGGGCATCAAATCGAAATATCAAATCGAAAAGAACGCGGATTGTTCTCTATCGAACTTTCCACAAAAACATGGAGAGTGTGATTGAAGGGGAAAATCGTGTAAATCACCGTTTTTTTTTTCCACAGAACGCTCGAGAGAGAAAAAATGCGACCGCTAACACGCGTAAATTACATGCGGTGAAGATCAAAAGAGTTTTTGTTTTGAGGAAAGAAAAGAAAGGCGGTGATTCTCGGGTTTCTCTCTTCTCTCATCCATTACTCAACTCAGATTCTCGTGCTCATGTTACTTGAATGTATTCACATCTCTTTTTTTTTTCTTCTTCTTCCCTTTTTTTCCCTTTATGTGCCATCCATTGCATCAGTTATTGTGCAAAAATGGGCTTTGTTTGAGATCGAAAAGAAAAAAAAACCATCAAGTATTACTGAATCGTTTGCGTCTTTTGATTTTGTCAAGTCCTACTGTGCTCTGTGCGTGTCTTTGTTTCTAAAAGGTGGCGAAACTACCGTATCTTATTCGATAAAAAAGTAGAGCTAAGGTTACGATAATTTGCTTTACGATAGTTTCAAAATTGCTCAAACTTTAGAAAAGTCATCATTCGTATGTGACTGTTACTGTGCCAAGTCATCTATAAAGGCAATACTCAGCGCCATTTCTCCTAACAAAACACGAGACCTATGTTTGTTGGGGAAAGAAGGCGATGGGCTGTATCGGTGTCATCGAGGAAAAGCAAAAGCGGGGAGTGGATTGTTTGAGAACATGAGAAGGGATCTTTTGAGAACAAGATCAATTCGCAGAATGGAAAGGGGTAAAGATCGTTGGGGAAACAATTGAGGTAGTTAGAATTCGATCTGTATCTGGCTCTACATAGATTGGGACCAATAACCAATGAAATCAGCGGAAAATTATTCTATAATTAGAACTTCTATAGGTAGAACTTCTATAAGTAGAACTTCTATAAGTAGGCTTACTGCTAAACTTTACAATTACATTTACAAACGATCAGGTGATCTGTCAATAACTAAAGTACTAATTGTAAATTGTACTGGCATTAAAATAGTCCTTTAGGTCAACTGAAAGATTTTGTATTGAGAATGGGGATTTAAAGTCACTTTATGCGCTATTTTAAGCCATCTCAACCCTACCCAACCTACTCTAATCAACTAATTAACTCGTTGACAACTCTCCTATCCATTGTATACTTATGGAGTTTAGTGCTTTAAGTAACCTTGTGCGTTATCTTCAACTTATGCCAACCCAGTTACCGTAATCCATTGAACACTTATCGTAGCTCAAAAAGTATTACTATTACAGTAACTTCGCAATTACTTTGACTCTGACATCAAAAGTTCAAGTTCGAATTACCAGACAACTCTTGAAAAATGATGTTGAAATAAATTGGTACTGAGAAAAACTCGCGTTGAAAGGAAGGAAATTTTTTGCGAAACGAGGCAAATTTCTCAAGCAGCTCGCAAAAAAGCCGTTCGCCGGGCACTCGTCAAAACGAAAATTTTCTCGCCCCACGACAAAAACGACAATTACACGTCGTAAAAACTAGTTGAAATGGGGGAAGGAAATTTCGGTGATGTTTACGACTGAAATGGATACGAAATTGAAAGGATCGGATTGGAGGAGAATTGAAGGAATGAGGGGTGATTTGAAGAGACGAAGATCATGTTGAAATGGACAAGTACAATGATAAAGAACTATCAGATGATCAAGGGAATTTGAAAAATTAAATAATTGAAAGAGAGCTGGATTCTTGATAAGTTTGGCACTAATAAGTGCTAAGATACTCGGGTCTTGTACTGTAGCTAAAAACAAAAACTAGAACTTAACTTTACCCATCGCTTAATGGTGGGAAGATTTCTGATTAGAGTATGTGTTCCTATCGACTACCGTAAGACCTGACTTTAGTATTTGTTCAATCTATGTTCGTCTGATCTCAGCTAGTTCCGATTCTAACAGTAAAAGCCAAAACCTAGTCAAGTCACGAAAAGCCTTTGATAAAAAAGCTTTGGTTTGTCTTAGACTAGAAATTTAGGTCTAGGAACAACCCTGAGCTCATAGTTATTGAAAATATTTCATATTGTAGCTCTCTTGTACTGTAGCTAAAAACAAGAACTAGGACTTAACTTGACCTATTGCATTATATTAGGATTGATGTAGAAATGTGAAAGTTATTCTATTTTTAAAAACAAGCCAACGGTCATTCGCTACAAAATTGAGAAAGATTTCTATACACGCAAAAATCGACTCGTCGTCGCAAACAGCTCAGCCCGGCCCGCCGAGTGTATTGAGAAAAGCATAAAAAATGCAAATAATGGGAGTTGAAAAGAAGCGAAAAAGAGCGAAAAAGACATAAAAACACTGAGGTGTAAATAGAAAGGAACGTTTGGATGGAGATGGAGAAGAAGAAAAATAAATGGAAATTTGAAGGGGACCACACACGAATGTGCTCTCTCTCTCTCATTGACGATACCGAGAGTAGGACACAAGAAGTGTGTATTAGAGAGAACACTTAGTGCGCTAGACATCAAGCGATTAGATAAAAGGCTCTTAAAGGCGGAGACTCAAGTGTCAAAAGTGTCTCACCGATGCAGTCGAATCCAGATCTCCTCGTCTCCGGTGATCGTTTGTAATGTTCGTTTTGTATCGAGACTTATCTAAAGTTTGTATTTGTTGATATGCATTGTTATCTCAATTTTCTTCCTAGTAACCTAGTTTTTAGCCTTATTGAAGCTTTTTTGAGAAAGACTGTACTGTCTTGTTCCAATATCTTCTCTCACTATCTTTGACTACTGATTTTTCTAAAGCGTGTCAACTTCGTTATCTTGTCTCTAGTTTTATCCAATCTATTCATCTTTTTGCATCTTTTTTATGAAAAGAAACAAATCAAAAGTCAAAAATCAAAAGTTGATAGATTAAATAAAAACTAAAGCCAAGAATATAGTAGTTATTTTGTTTTCGAAAACGAATCAGTCGACTACTGTAGTAAAATGAGATTCTGAAAGCTACAATATCTTTATGTAAAACAATCGTACCCTTCTTGAGATGAGATTTGGCGGTAATCGACTGATTCTCGATGCATTCTCGGGTCTTAACGGCTCCTCGGCTTCACGCATTTGTTGGTTCTCCCGTCGAAACGTTTCCATGGCCAGAGACTAAAATTGAGATAAGATGAAGTTAGTTTTTCTAATTTAACAGTAGATTTACAAACTAATTAGCCAGTTAATTTATTTTCCCCCACCCGTAATTTATCCTTGATCGATCGAAGAGCTTGCAGAAAGAAATCGTGACTGTTGAGCAAAAAAGTGGGATCATTTGAGACGACAAGAAGGGAGTAAAGCCTTTGGAGACCTCGCGCTTTTGTGTCCGGTATTCTGAAATTTCAAAATGTTAATGGAAAATGTCACACTTGATCCAAAAAAGCTTGCACTTATTCAATTCAAAGCTTCAATTCAAAGCTTCAATTCAAAGCTTCAATTCAAAGCTTCAATTCTGATCGCCATGACTGCCATTCACTCACACTTTCAAATCTCAAAGCACTTACCGAAATGTGAGCGCAAACGTGTACCCGTGCTCAGAATCACCATAGAAAATGTTTCCATCGTCTTTTCCATCCTGAAATCGTTTTTGAGGAAATTGTGAGCATTTTTGAATTAATCGAATTATCAAATTCGTTTCTGATCGGATAATTCTAATCAGCATATAACCATTGATAAGACAGAACAAACCTCATTTTGATCATTGCTCGTTTTTGATGAAGAAGCGTTTACATCTAAAAAAGGAAAGGTTAAGTAAAAATATATTATTGACAACATATATAAATATATACAAAATAACCTGTTTGGTTTCAAATTCACAACTTTGGCAAAATTCAATAGTAAATACCAAAATTTTCACGTTTTTAGCTTACAGAACAGATTACAGTGCTTCTATCGTACTAGGTTTTTAAAATTTAAAAGTTTCAAGCTTTTCCTCACCTTTCAACGGTCCCTTTTGAGTTAAGGAGAGCTGGGGTATCGATATTTCATAACTCAACGAGCGAAGACAAGATGTGCGTATTCTATCGAGCACGATCTCGCTGAATGCCACCTAGAAAATCAAGTAGAACTTTAATTTCTCTGTAAAGCCTACCTGTGAGCTGATATAACTCGTCCTCGTTAAATGATCATTTGAGAGGAGATAACTAGTCGTTCCTAATGATGTACACGCATCACAACGGGCATCGGGATCCTCGACAACCGTCAAGTTGTCACCGTAGTATTTCGGGGGCTCCTGGATCGGTTTAATGATTTTAAATCCTTTAATACTACTGTAACAATTGTCTGCAGGTGCCTAAATGAAAAATAAAACTAAAACTAAAACACTGGAGGTGCCAGGTACTACGCTAGGTTGCTTAAATGCAAATTGAGATAACTTTTTGAGCAGAAAATCTGTGGATATTCGTTAATGGAAATAGAAATTAATAGAAAATTTTAATAGAAATAAAAAACTAACGGTCGGCGACGTGGCTCCACTCGTGCTCGGCTCGCATGGAGAATGAAGGCCTCGATCCGAGTTTTCGGGGAAAATTTGCGAGTTCGAGGCACTGAACAAATTTGAATTATTGAGGCCAAGAATATTTTCATGGTTTCTTCGATCATCAATCAAGATATCGAGTATTGCAATGAGTATTTGAAAATTGAATTACAGTCATGGACAAAAGTCTTTACCCCTACCGAGGTCAGCTTTTAAAACGCAAAATTTTTCAACTTTTTAACAAGTTTTAAAAATTGTTTTCAAAGCATTTTGTAGCATTTTTACTCTAGTTTTTATATCCCATAACCAAAAGAAACAACCATTTATTTTAGGCAATAAAGAACGACGTTAACAAAAAAAACCCTCAAAACAGGTGGACAAAAGTCTTTACCCCTCGAACAAAAAGTGAGAAAAAACCGAGTATTTTAATATTTGGTAGGGCCTCCTTTGGATGAAATTATTGCTTGAATCCTTCTCGGCATCGAGTCGACCAAATCCTGTAAATTTGAGGACCGATCTTTGTCCAGACGTGTCGAATGAAGTACCATAGCTCAATCTTGGTATTGAGCGTTTTCCTTCAATTTCAGCTTCAAAACGCCCACAAATGTTCGATAACGTTCAAATCCGGACTGTGGGGGGAGCAGATGAGCTGAACTCCATTCGATCCGAACCATCCGGGTAGACGGCCCCACCACCGTTGGCAAGGCGAACAACTCGTCCCATTAGCAGTTGCGACTTGTGGCATGGAGCGTTGTCCTGGTACAGCAACCATCCTTGTCCAATTTTTGTGGTCGCAATTGGAAGAAGATCGTTCTCCAAAATCGCCTTGTATCGTTGAGCGTCCAAAGTTGAATTGAGAAGAACGAGCGGACCTGGTGAACTTCTAGTCATCGCTCCTGAAAAAAGTCAATAGGCATAAAGATAAAAGTTTCTTATACCCCACAACATGATTGATCCGCCACCAAATTTGACTGTCGCACGAAGGTATTTGGTGCTATATCGTTGTCCGACAGGTCTCCGGATCAAATGATTGCCGTCGGGATTGAAAAGGTTGATCTTCGATTCATCGGTGAAGATGACATTGGCCCAGTCGTTGCTTGTCCAACTTTCATACTTCTCGGCAAAGTCGAGTCGAATCTTCCGGTGTTTGGCGACCATCAGGCCTTCTTGGCAGGTCTTCTAGTCATCAATCCTGCATGAATCAAACGCCGCTTATGTCTTTCGATTGATGTCCTTGTTAAATTGATGCTTGATTAATCTGACTCCCTCGGAAGCATTAAGATTTGGATCCTTTTGTGGGCCAAAATTAGAACCTTGTCTTCTCTTGGTGTTGTGACGGGTGAACGACCTGTTTTGAATGCTCGGTGAAGAATTCCAGTCGCTTTTCTTTCTTGCAAAGCTTTTTCACCGTTTCGGGGGCTGCATTTGAATACGCTCGCAACATCTTTTACTTTGTCGCCTCGTTTCCTTGCTTCCACAATCTTTTCTTTGTCGGGAGTGGTCAGATAGGCTCCAGGCATCGCTAGAATTAAAAAATAATAAAGCATTGTTATGTGAAAAATAACGAAACAACAGCAAGAAAATAAAAAGTTGAAAAGGGGTAAAGACTTTTGTCCACCTGTTTTGAGGGTTTTTTTTTGTTAACGTCGTTCTTTTGCCTAAAATAAATGGTTGTTTCTTTTGGTTATGGGATATAAAAACTAGAGTAAAAATGCTACAAAATGCTTTGAAAACAATTTTTAAAACTTGTTAAAAAGTTGAAAAATTTTGCGTTTTAAAAGCTGACCTCGGTAGGGGTAAAGACTTTTGTCCATGACTGTATTGCAATAGTATTGCAAAAACAAACTCCCGTATCGGTTGGCATGTAATGACAACTCTCGGCCCGTGCGTCTCGCAGAAATGGCACAGCGCGATCGCCGCTTGCATAAGCCGAATACCCAAAAAGAGCCGAAAAGATATTCACTGAAAAAACGGGAAACTTATTTATTTTTAGTTATTTTTAAGAAATGACCTTTGTGCAAAAAAAGGAAATGAAATATGGTAGGAAAGTAAAGTTTTTATTTTGAAATCATTTCTGTTTTTGCGAAAAGGGGAACAACTTTAAAATTTTAGTTTAGAAGTTTAAGTTTAAAGTTAAAAAGCAAAGTTTAAAAGGATTTTGCAAGCCAATTTTTCAATGATAAACATAGCTCCAGAATTTTTTTGATTCAGAGAATTTTTTACGAATCAATTCAAAGAAAAATTAAATTCAAGAACATTTTCAAAGCTGAAACAACAAGAAAACGAGCTTTCATTTCAAATTTTTTATTTTTAAACGCTTAAAAGTGTTTCCAAGCAATCGCAAATTTAGCAGACCAGCTCATCGCCCGTGGAATCAATTCTGCGATCAAAAACAAAGCCAAATTAGCGAACTGATACCATTATTTGTGTGGCACACCTGATTTTTGCCTATCTGGATAGAGGCCAAAGGGGTTGGCAAAGGTCCAAAATTCGCCAACAGACATTGACCCATGATCTGCACACTGTTCCCTTAAAGGCACCCCGGCTACCGTAGCGCTAAGCCTCTGCAGACTGGGGCAATATTCGGAATTTCCTCACCCTCAAATTGCGAATTGACTTGAAATTTTCGTTTCGTTTTTGTTTTTTCCGACTTCTTTTTACTTTAATACTCTATTTTTAGGTGTTTTCTTGCCACGTTTGAAAGGAAGACCGACAAATGGCGACCGCTGATCTGTAAGTATTCGATTGACTATTCAAAACGGTTTAATTTTAGTTTGAGCTCTGCTCCCGAGGCAATTGAAAGCTGGGCCGAAGCCGTTGAACAAGAAAGTATCTTTTGAAAGAATACTCAAGAAGCTAAAATTTTTTACTTTAGCTCGCAGTGAATCTATCAAGGATGGCGTTAAGACAGTAACCGATATGGTGGAAGAGGATGGAAAAGTCTACAAGGTGAACCATTAAACAAGTAGTCTTTTTTTAATGTTAATGAGTTTTATTTATACTGATATTTTATTTTATGGCCTAGTTTTAGGTCGTCACTCAATTCAAGATCGTCACCAAGAAGGTCCCCCGCTCGGTGGCCGAACGAAGAGGTTGGCTGGAAGTTTGGTGTTTGCCAGAATGACCCGCCAGGACCTCAAGTATCGGATTTAAATCGAATCATAACTATTGGATGATCCAGGTCTCAACTACTTATGTTGCGGAAGAGGTTGAAATGCAATTTGTGAGGAATCGTGCTGGAGAGCAAATTCTTGATGTGCAAGAGGAGAAACAACAGGTGACATTTTTATTTCCTAAGAATAATTTATCAATATTTAGGCTAAAACAACTTCTCGTGAGCATTGTCGTCATTGCAAAGCCAACGACCATTGGTCGACTAATTGCCCATACAAGGTTTTTTGTCTGTTGGAAAAGTTATTCTAATTAATTTTAGGAAATGTATCAAGTTGAAGAGGAAGTTGATTTGAACGCTGCCCCAGAGAAACCAGCTGGCCCTGGCGCGCCTGGACGCTATATGGCCCCAGGAATGCGAGGCGGTGAACGTCCCGATCAACGACGGTAAGGCTGCAACTAATTGTCTCCTTATCTTGATTTTTCAGCTCCGATGAAAACACGTGTCGTGTCACCAATTTGCCCCAAGAAGTCGACGAGCAAGAGCTTCGAGAACTGTTTACTCGTATGGGTCGTGTTCAGGTTGAACAAAATAAATCAAAAAATTTAATCTTTTTTGTTTAGCGTGTTTTCATTGCCCGAGACAAACAGACCAACTTACCAAAAGGTTTCGCCTACATCACTTACGATTTGCGACTTGATGCTGAGAAAGCCATAGAAAAGCTGAATGGTTATAAATATGAGCACATGGTCATGCACGTCGAGCTTGCAAAGTGAGTTTTTTTTATTTAAGTGGTATTAAAACTGATTTAGACCAAGTAATAATTGATGTTCTGTGGAACCGGTCTGTTGAAGAAATTTTATGGTTATGTTTTATTGTTCGTTTACAGTTTTGGGTTGATATTGTTAAATAAATTTTTATCAATTTTTGAAAATTAATTTGTCGTATGTACGTTTTATATCTAAACGTTATATGTGTCAGTTCTTTTTTTAGCAAATACATCTTTAGATGGGTCTTTTAACCGTCATACGAAAAATGCGCGCAAAAGAGCGCGAGATCCGCATTTTAATACTTGGGCTCGATAATGCCGGCAAGACGACTGTTACCAAGAAGTTTCTGGGCGAAGATACGAGTAAAGTGGAACCTACATTTGGTGAGTTAACAAGATTTTCGAATCTCATTAAACTCTTATCAGAAGCAATATATCGATTTAGGTTTTAACATCGAGACAGTTGAATTTCAAAACTTCAACCTAAATCTTTGGGATGTTGGTGGTCAAAGAAGTCTGCGCTCCTACTGGAAAAACTATTTTGAGCAAGTACTTGTCCTCAGTTTTTATGAAAATAAATTTTACAATTAGACCGAAGCTCTAGTTTGGGTTGTGGATTCAACGGATCGAGAACGATTACAAATGTGTGCAGAGGAGTTAGGCGTTAGTTTACTTTTTTCGGAGCCTTGTACAGAATTTTTTTTAGAAATTACTGCAAGAAGAAAGACTGCTTGGTGCCACACTTTTGGTGTTTGCTAACAAACAGGATATTCGCTCAGCGGTCAAATGCGAAGATATAGCAAAAGTTTGCTATTTTTCCATGCTAAAGGATTTAAAATAGTTCTTATTATGACAATTCAATAACAATGTTTTTAGATTTTGAACTTGGACGCTATCAAGTCGCACCATTGGAAAATTTACCCGTGCTCGGCAATAACTGGAGAAAATTTACTAGAAGCGATGACATGGCTCTGCGAAGATGTTTCTAGTCGAATATTTACGAATTAAAATTAATTTTTATGTGTCTTTTTGCTTTTGTGTGTCCTCATTTTGTTGGTTATACGCGGGTATTTTGATCTCATTTTGTATGCAGAACTTAATAAATTCATTTGCATAATGGGTTTTTGATTTCCGGTTGCTAACCATTCAGGATATCTATGTGAATTAGAATTGTCTTGTTATGTGTAGTGTTATATTGTGGTGCAAACATTCTGATTTAGGAAATGCCGCCCGTAACTGCGCCACCACCGCCTGTTGTCTCCCGGAGAGAGGAAGACTCGATGAACACAGAAGCGAGTATGAGTGGAAAGGCAATCATTGGCCTCATCTATCCACCTCCTGATATAAGAAGTGAGTTTTATCTTTTAGAATCTATCTAATCCTGAGAATTTAGCTATTGTTGATAAAACCGCGAACTTCGTGGCTAGAAATGGTGTCGACTTTGAGAACAAAATTCGTGAAAAAGAAGCCGCCAATCTAAAGTAAGCTTAAAGATTTCGACCATGTATCAAATTTTTAGATTCACGTTCTTGTCTCCTACTGATCCATACAACGCTTACTACAAACATAAGGTATTTAAACATTGGTTCGATTTTTGAGCAGCAGTTTATTTTAGGTGAAAGAACTGCAAGAAGGAAAAACTGAAGCACCAAGGGTACAAGTCCCTGATGCAGTGAAAGAACACGTAAAGAAAGTGGCAGAAGTGAGTTGGACTCTTTTCGATTAGTTGTATAATTTGTTTGATTTTAGACAATCACTCGTCCTCCTACTAAATACGAATTTTCCGATGAGCCAACTACGATCAACGCATTTGATTTGTAAGTTACTTCAGTATCTGGTAGCATATACTAAATATTCAATGTTAGGGACTTGATCAAACTCACGGCACTTTTCGTTGCTCGAAATGGACGCCAATTTATGACAAATTTGATGAATCGCGAGGTAATGAAAGTTGTTTTGTTTGTTTTTTAATTTGAACTTTAGATGCGAAATTATCAATTTGACTTCTTGAAGCCACAACACAGCAACTTTCAATATTTTTCTCAGCTTGTTGAACAATATACAAAGGTATGGTTTGTTGTTTAACCCATTTCTATTAGTGATTTAGGTTCTAATCCCATCGAAAACGATTGTGGACGAGCTGCGTTCTGAGAGAGAAAATAAGAAAAAGCTGCTTGACGAAGTTGAACGTCGTGTGAGATGGGAGAAATATCAGAAAAGCTTGAAAGTGAGCTTTCATTTTAAACCTAATCTTATTTTTGTTGTAGGATAAAGCGGATGCTGAGGCTGAAAAGGAGCGAGTTGCTTATGCACAAATCGATTGGCATGATTTTGTTCTTGTACAAACGGTCGACTTTTCTGCACAAGATCTTGGTAAGTTATAGTAACTAATATTGGAAAACGGTTACTTTATTCTATCTAATACTTTTATCACAAGTGTAGGAAATCTGCCCGGGCTTTGCACGTCTGCGGATGTTGGAGCCCGAGTTTTACTCGAGGCAAGAAAAGAACAAGAAAAGGCTAATCAAGACGCTGCTATGGACATGGAGGAAAGTGATAGTGAAGATGAACAAGAAATTGCACACGAGGTATGTTGGTAAGAGTTTTCAAAAAATTTTTGTTTTTATAGATTGCACCAACACTTTCTTCGGCACCAGCCATTAATTTGCCACGCTCAACCGGACTTGGGGATGATCTACCTGCGGATATGCTTAATCAGCCAATACCAAACGCTCCAACCAAACAAGGAAATATTCTCATTCGAGAAGATTATGACCCGAAGAGAGGTATATTTAGTACTCGTTATTTAATGCAATACTCAAAACCTATCATTTATCAACTTAATCGCTCTAGATATTACTCGACGCCCCACGGTCGAAGAATGGATAATCTCTCCGCTCACTGGAGAAAAGATGCCCAAAAATAAGATTACCGAGCACGTCAGGTTTGTCAATATTGTGATAGTTGCACGTAAATCTGTGTAATGGTTTAGATATAACACAGTTGACTCTCAATACAAGGAAGAACGCGACGCACGTATTGCTCAGACCTCTGCCGAAGAAGGCGTGTTTGCTCCTGGAATGGATATCTCGAAAAATCTTAACAAGTGAGTTTTCAAGTTATAAGTCTTAATCGAATGTTTTCTTAGATTTGCTGACCGTCGTACTGATATTTTCGGAGTTGGAGAAGAAGGTGCTAAACAAACAATCATCGGAAAGAAACTTGGGGAAGCTGATGCTCCTAACAAACCAACAAAGGATGGAGTAAGTGCTAAAATGAGTGAAAATTAACCGTTGACTTGTAATTTATGCAATGCGTATAAATGTTATATTTTAGATTTGGGATGGTACTGCAGAAACAATGGAAAGTGCAACGCGTGAAGCACAAAAGAAGGTCAGTTTGGGTGTTTTTTCAAGATACAAGTGAATTTAGGTGACTCTCGAGCAACAGCTTAAAGATCTTCATCGTCAACACGGTTATGTACCCGATCCAGAAAAGGAACGCATTGGAGCTCAACCGGCATCTGCTGCTTCAGAAATTCCACCGCCACCTCAAGCACATGTATGTACAGCCTTATAAAAAGTTTTTAACGCGTTTTAGGCACCGATTGTTCGTCCACCAATGCCACCACCTGCTTCAATTCCGGCTCCTCCATCTGCAATTCCGATTCCAGCTCGATCTCTTCCACCGGCTCCTCATTTGATGCCTGGCCTCCCTCCAATTCTAATGCGCGGACCTATGGTTCCAACGGTTTGTTTCTAGAAAGTGTTTTCGTTAAAATTTTATTTAAGATTGCTGTCCCAGGGATGCCAATCGTACCCATGGCAGTTCCAATCATTTCGGCTCCAGCCCCAATGCCAATGCTTGCAAGTATTCCTCCAAGGTAAGGTTTTGAAACGTTTCTAGTTTTATTTGTTAATTTAGACCACAAATGGATTTTGCCGCTCAACCACCAGCTAAAAAACAAAAGACTGAAGACGACTTGGAGCCAGAGCATGCTTGGCTCGCAAAGGTAATAGTTCTGTGTTTTTCTTTATTTTGGTTGTTCAGGTCCCTCCAACAATCGAAGTGCGTATTCTTCTCCCACAAGATCCTCAATGGCAACTAGATGGGAGCGTGGTCTCATTCAACGTCGAGTCAGCAGCCATGGTACTAATTGTTTTTTGGTTGTTGTAAATATATTTTAGGTCTCAACTCTCAAACAGAAAGTTTTTGATCGATACCAAATGCCTGTTAACAAACAGAAGCTCAATTTCGAAGTAAGTTCTAATAAATTGTTCTTGCAAATGAAAAAATTTAGAGCTTTGTGTTGAAAGATACGAACTCTTTTGCTTACTACAATATCAGTCAACATGCTTTCCTTTCTCTTGGAACTAAGGAACGTGGAGGAAAGAAAAAGTAGTTTTTACACGTTTGATCTCTGAATTATTTTTTGACTTTGTTTATAAATATGTTCATAGATAACAAGCACAAAATAATGCAAAAAAAGAAAATACACAACCTTTCAAAAATAAATAGGTAAATCATTGCATTGTAAGGGACAAAGGCACAAAAAACATCATCAGTCAAGGCCGTGCCGATACAATTGCGACAAGACTCAGCAAAGGACCCGCAGAAAGACAAATAGGTGAGAGGATGAGTACATCTTTGGAAGATACAGCTTTCAAGAATTTCTAACAGGGAATGGATGAGCCTCCGTATTGAATACCCATTGAGTAAGGTCTGAAATACTTTTCCAATTTTGAGTGAAGTGATAAGCTTACCCATCACACTGTCCTCGGAAAATATCAAATATAAATATTTAAAAAGTTCGGCAAAAAGGAATGACTGTTGAGTATCATCATGTGTCACCGGTACTTGATAGACATCCTTTACGCCAGAATAACCGGCTTCCACCTAATCGTGTGGTTTGTAAAATGTTTTGAGAGTTTTTTTTTGATACCTTCAAGTGTTTTTCGAGTGCTTGTACCACATCCCAGGCCCAGTCACGATACTTTTGATCTTTGGTAAATCTCCATAAATAAAACCAAGTTTCAACCACCTGAAAATTGAGGTTTTTATTATTTTATTACTTTTGAATTTGTTTTTATATTGATATTGATATGTATTGATAAACCTCCGGTCGAAGAATATAGTATTTTTCTTGAGAAGACACGGCAACGGCTTCCACATCGTTCGTGAAACGAAAAGCCTCGGGACCGATGCCAATTGCTGAAAGTTGAGATTTAGATTCGATTTTCCTAGTTCTTTATGAAATCGATTTTCGAAGCGAAGAGAAGACGCTGTAATGGACGCAATGGACGTGTAATGGACGTGTAATGGACGTGTAATGGACGTGTAATGGACGTGTAATGGACGCTAACTTTTGGTGTACCTGATTTCCGATAGCTCTCGTGACATGTGTGCCCAATATCTTTTGCCAGATCCATGTAATGCCTTGCTCGTGTCGCATTTGGCTCATTGAAAGCCTGAGAAGAAAACCCCAATGTTTTTTGATGCTATTTTGATCAACTTTACATCAAGTGCGAACATTCCTCCACAAAAACATCCAAGGTGTTCCATCTTGTGCTCGACTCGACTCCCTTTCAGATTGGCGAAATATCTGAAATGGTCATTGATTTGCATTTGATTTTTATATTGCGCTTTTCTTCACTTCAAATTGCTGGGACTGCTGCTGAAGAGCATTTTCTTCTCCATCGCCTCAATGGCTTCATTGTATTCCTTCTTTGTTCGCGTGTCCTGGTAAAGTCGTGTTTCTTTTGTTTCTCTAACTTTCCCCCCTCCCTAGACAAACCTTTTTCCCGGTAACAAGATACTGTTTGAGAAGATATTCGTAAAAACTGTCAGCCATTGCCCCAATCGAGTATTCTCCTGAAAGAAAGCGGTTAAATTAAAAAAGCGCTAAAATCACTTTGTCCCCATTTCCCGTTGTTCGGATTCAAGTAGATTGGGTATAATCCATCGGGTTTCTCAAGAGATGTCAGAAAATCGCGAACGGTTTTGATCTGAAATGGTTTCTTGTAATCGAATCACTCCCTCTAGCTTTCACTTTATTTCGATAAATATCATTTCCGGTGAGATTCGAGAGGTAATCGAACTCGAGCTCGAGACTGCCGAATTCCGAGAGAATACTCGCACCGCCCGAGGCCCAGCCATAGTTTTTCGCTTTGCCTGAATGCTTTTGGTGGTTTGAATTTTGAGAGATTTTAAACCTGACACAATGTTGATGAGTGCCAAGGGGATACCAGTTGGTGTGTCAAAAGCGGGCAACAAAAGGTCAACAATTGAAGTGGCCTTTTTCAGGTACATCTAAAAGGAAATTTGAATATAAAAATTTGTATTTCAAATAGTCAGCGCTAGTCAGCGCTAGAAATAGTCGCTAAACAGGTTACTGTTTACTGAAATTACCTCGTCACGTGTCAAAGCATATCCCGATAAAAGACCGCCAACAAAGCGAATATTCGTCTCGAACACGGAGATATCTCCACGCTAAATTAGACGATTAACCCTCTTTTTTTTATTTTCATACGGCTAATCGCTTGAAATCGAGATTCATCTCAATCCATTTGTGCGCATCTTCATATTCTTCTTTCAATCCCATTATATAGAGAGTATCTAATGCATCGACGATCGTTGCCCCCAAATCACCGCTTCCGAATATTGATGCAGAATGACCTTCAGATTAAGGAATGCTTTATCGAACTTCTTTTTCTTTTTTACCTTTTTTCGAGATCGGTTTCAATTCATTTGAGCCCCAAGCATACTTTTTGTAGCTGTCCCATGCGAATTTTGTCATCTGGCAAAAATGTTTCGTTTTAACTCTGAAATTCTTTGAATACTTGTTTCACGGTTATTCTTCGTCCATCAGCATCATCACCAGCCCCGATATCCGGTTTTGGAATAGGTGGAGGCATCTGTAATTCGCTTTGAACGGATGGATAAGAGGAACAAACTAAGCTTACAGTATGATCTGCAACCTTTCGGAGCTTGCTGCTAAAGTTTTTATAGTACCTGGACTTCATTTTCAGCGCGGGCACGCAAGAACGACTTATCCCTTTCCACTTGATGCCGCCGACGTTCCTTAAAATTGGTGTTATTTAGTGAATTGAGTGATGCATAAACAAACTGCAGTTACCTCTAGATCTCGAACATGAACATGTGACTTATCGCCATCTTCGTGATCGTGCACCTCGCCGTGAGAATGTGCAACAGCTACCCTATAGTTGGCTTATCAAATTTTGCAATTTTGATTAAAAGCTGATTTTAATGGAGATTACCGTAATTTGCTTTTAGCTACCGTAGTTTCTCGACTCCTAGACATGGGTTCGGTCGGTCGTTCTTTACGCTCCGACGTAAACTAAATCGACCTGGCACACCCAATTCCTCATTTTTCTCGCAGCAGCAGTTTGGTATCGCGAGAAAAATTGGGATTTGGGTGTGTCAGATCGATTTAGCTTACGTCGGAGCGCAAAGAATGACCAACCGAACCCATGTCTATCATATGCATTTAACGGGGTAAATTACCCTAATCCTCCAACAAGAACGCCAGTTGAAGTCAACTTTCGCAATTTGTTTTTGTTACTTACAATCAGAAACCTTGCAATTTTTTGAAATCCATGTAGCAACATAGGAAGTAAAACGTTCTCAATGTTTCGGTACCTCAACAAATGATCGTCCGCTGGCAAAAAGTAAAGGGTCGAATAGCAAACGAATGCCATAAACAATAAGGCACACAAGACTGCATATCTAAACGGTGTGTGCTCTAGAGGGAATACCTACTACTGTTTTTGAAAAGTGTTGAGTGTTTTGTGTGCTTGTTTCTCTACTTCAATTCTACGCTGAGAAAGTTAAAAACGGGTGGCTAAGTGTGGAACAAAATTCGGCGACTGCTGTGCGAAAGCGCCAGCCTACGAACATCAGTAACAGAATCACTCACTTTTCATGTATTTTTAACATGACTGCCAAGAAGAGAAGAGACCCGTCTATCCGACTTGAGTTTTTGTTGAGAGCATCAAATGAATTATCTGAAATTTTTTAATAAGCTCTATTACACAATCATAGAATCCAGGAAAAAATCCGAAAACAAAATGCACCTATAAATCACACGTATGTAATTATTAAGAACACGAGTACGACAAAGTATCACAAGTTATCTACAAAGGAGATTTGAGCAATCCTAATCTATCTCTTTTTCGCCTCTTCTTTCAAAAATTGATAAACGACGCCAAAGTCTTTCTGAGAAAAATTTGGGTCTTGAGCTAAAAGACGGTAAATCTGATGCGCCATAGAACCAAGAGGAGTTGGAGCCTAAATTAGCGTTATTTACGCAAGAAGGTAAATCACATACATGGGTAGCGGTAGCAGCATTTTGAGCTAACGACAAATCTTTCGCCATCAAAGCACTACCGAATCCGCCTTGATACTCCTAAAATTAGAAATTTGAATGTAACTGGTAATAGTCAAACCTTGCTTGGTGGAATTCCCTCAATCACTCCAGGAACGGGATTGTAGGTATCGGATGACCAACAACGACCGGACGAAGTGTTCAGAATTGATGCCAAAAGTTTTGCATCAAGGCCCATTCGAATACCTATAATTATTAAAAGGTTGCTGATTTTTTACTAGTACAAGTATTCATAACTTTATTAACAACCGTAAAACAAACCAAGATTCATCGTCTCCGACACACCAATCATTGAAATTCCAAGCATCATATTATTGCAAATTTTTGCGGCTTGCCCATTTCCAACCTAAAAGAAAAGTTAGTTTTTTAGACAAGTCAAGTCACCTTTCCACAATTGACGATGTTCTTGCCCATTTTGCTCAAAAATGTATGGGCACGATCGAAAACTGGCTGCTCATCACCGCCACCAACCTAGAGATAAATTGTTTAGAAATAGTAAAATACAATACCATAAATGTCAATGTCGCATTTTGAGCTCCAACAACACCACCACTAACTGGGGCATCCACATAACTCGCTTGCTTTTGGCGAAGAGCTAACGCCATTTCAACCGACACCATCTAAAATCTACTATTAGCGTTTGAACTTTATAAAATCCCTCAAAAAAAAAAAAAAATTCCAACCTGGTCGATAGTGCTGCTATCCATGCAAAGGGAATTTGGTTGCAGTGTTTCAAGAAGTCCTCCATCTCCAGTGTATACCTTAAAAACAGAACGTCTTTTAAGAAAATAATCCTTTTCAATTAATATCAACATTTTATTTCTACACTTCAAACAGACAACTACCAGTTTAACGTGAGGACTCGATGGAAGCATGGTGACGATATCTTTGCTCGCTGCAGCCACATCGGCCGGGAATTTGGCAATGGTCGCTCCATCGGCTTTAAACTGTTCGAGAACCTGTAAACAAAAGTAAATTCAAAGTTTCCAACAAACAAACCTTTGCATTAACGTCATAGACAATCAATTTGTGGCCGTGCTTGATGAGATTTCGGGCCATATGGGCTAAAATTTACAATAACGAGAGCCTTTGTTGTTCAGCTTACCACCCATTTGACCCAGACCAATGAAACCGACGAGCGACATCCCCTAAAAAGATAGAAATTGAAAGAAAACGAAAAAAAATTATTAAAGTATGCAATTTGTAAATGAAAAATGTTTCAAAAAATTAAAGTAAGTCAGAAATTGTCAGAAAAAGATCAACTTAAATACGACAGCTCAAACGTTTTAATTTTTAAAGTTATAGATTTTTTTTAGCTACTGTGATTTCTCTTTTATGAGTCGAGATTAACTCTCTGTGGGAAGCTTTTGCCAACACAGGGTTCAATCTTTTATTAGGTCGTTGTTTGAATTGGAACGGACTGGGGAGGTTAAAGCCCTCGTTTGACCCCGCAGAATAGCAAATCTTAAATTGACAATATCTTCATTTTTTTTCTGCTTTAATGTTCAGTTAAAGGGCTGAATAACTTAAGAAATATGCAAGTGCTCATTTTCCGCTTGGTGCTCTGAATAGCCACTCTTTAGTTAGCTTTAGCCACTCTTAATTTTTAGTCTTTTCACTTTAAATGCGTTTAAATATCTCTTTACCAAACTCTTACTTTTAGAAAAAGATGAAGAAAAGACGATTAGAAGAGGAGTCAATGGCTTTAAAAGCTCCGAGATGTTCGATATTGGAAAATGTCGCCATCTCCGACAAATATTCTGCAACGGATTATTCGGAGAAATTCAAGGAGATCATGAAAAGTAAGGGTTTATCCTTGTTTTTAAAACGTTAGAACTATTTCATTAATCGATTCTTTCAATTTTTATTCAGGTGCCAAACCGTTTCCCCATATCTCACTTCGAAATTTCATTGATAACTCGTCGAACTTTGTGGAACAAGTATATTTCTTTTCTGCTTTAAAATATTTTAGTATTTAGTTAGAAACAGAACTACAAGAGTTCCCAAATTGGCGACGAAAAGAAAACGATCTCTACTCACTGTATCAAACGACCGATTTCAAGAACATCCCATCGACTTCTCAACCCAACTTTTTTGCTTTCAGGTTTGTGTTTATGCACTTGTGTTTGCTATCTCTTTTTCTAGAGAATTTCTCTCAAATGTGGTGAAACCGTGGCTAGAAAAGGTTTCTGGAATCAACCTCACCGATCAGGTATTCGATCGCTTAGGTAATTAAAAAAGAGAATTGCAGATCGATATCACGGGAAGTTGTTATTCCGAAACGGACAACTTGCTTCCTCACAACGACCAAATTGAGTTTGTGTTTTATTAGTTAAAAAAAACCATTCTGTTTTATTTAGGACTCGTCGTTTTGCATTTGTTTACTATCTCACTGAAGTTGGTTGGTCAAAAACTGATGGAGGAGCTCTATATCTTTTCAACTCGGATGGTAACATTATTTTAGCTAAAAATAAAAGCTACCTTTAGAACAATGTATGCCTACAATGATTGGTGCTGAGTTATTGCCATATCGCAATTCGTTTCTCCTGTTCGAAGTTACTCAAAGATCTTGGCACCAAGTAGCGGAGATACTTCAAGGTGATCGACCGAGGTAAATATTTTTAAAGACGCTCTTATGTATAATCGTGACTTAGACTTTCCATCAATGGATGGTTTCACTCGACACGTCGCCTAAAAGAAGTCGTGCCTCCGCCTGAAATCATTCCTCGATTTTTACCTGTTGATCTAAAGGTTCAACTACTATAATTCACTAGTCAAGTTTAAAATGGTGGTATTTTAGGTTAATCATCTCAACGAATTTGCTTCCCTCATTTATACAGAGAACGAAAAACTGAAACAAATTAACGTGTTATTCGAGGAAGAAAGTCAAGTTTTGCTTCCTACTTTTTTCAAGGTATTGTTTTTTTTTATTTCGGATCGGCTTACTTTGAGTTTTATAGCCTGTGAGTTTAAAAAAGATTACGGAGGCTCTGAAGAAAGAACAATTTCAACTTTGTGGTCCACCAAATAAGAGGTTATTAAAAATTTCGTTTATTTGGAACATTTCAAAGTATAGGCGAATCTTTCGATTGAAAAAGGAAGCAAACGCGAAAAATGAGCTTGGTCACTTTTATGGTTGGTTGAGGTCAAATTATGCCAGAGCATTCTTCGAAAAAGTTACTGGATGTCAGCTAAAAGGTTTGCGACTAATTCTATTCTAAAATTTCGGTATTAGGTCTTCATAGTTCTGTCGAAATCAATCGAGTTGAGCGGGGATGCTATACAGTTATGGGGGATGAAGACGCAGCCAAATCGAAAGAGGATGGATATATCTTGGAAATTCACGTATGTTAGTTTGTGTAAAAAAAGAATGTAATAAACCTGAAGTTAATGATTAAAAGCAAATAAGCTTTAGTTTTTCTTTGGCGATTTAATCGATTTTCCTGCCGATGTTGGTGGATCAATTTATTACGTAGCTAAAGATGACGAGGAAGAGGTTTGTTTTAACGCAAACCATAATTAAACATAACACTTTTTAGTTAATGCGAATCAATCCTCAAATGAACTCGGCTGCCATTATTTTCAAAGAGGCCGATGTTTTCTCTTTTATCAAATATGTAACCCATAAGGTAAATCTTTCTTATCTGTTAAATTTTTACAGTAAAAATTTTATTTATAGATATCGAACAATTTTTATATCATCTCTCTTCGATATTATAACGTGGAAGGCGATGAAGAAAATGTAACTTAAGATTGTTTCAAGATTTTGCTTTTTAATTTGTCAGTTTTTGATATTTTCTGTTTCGTTTTGTTGATTTTTTTTGAATAAACATTTAATGTTGAGCTATTATTTATTGGATCTGGGTTTTAATCCAACTTTTATATGGATTTTTGTAAACAGCACTCTTGTTTGTGATCAAGGCCAGCTGTTTATTACCTTGAATTCCGTCCTTTGGATAATTCGTCCTCTTGGTCGGACTTTGTGCACACTGCGGATATTGATTGTTTTTTTGCTATGCAACGACCAAACTTTGAAATGCTAAAGGGTTTTTTCATTTAGTGCTTTGAAGAGTTTTTTAACAAACAAACTTTTTACTTTACAGGCAAAATGCTCAAACGAGGCTCCACGCAGCTTTTCGGCTCTCCAGCCCGGGTCCTCACGGCCTCGGTAATATTTTATTAAAAGTCGACTAATTCTATTCTTTTTTTTAGCTGAGAAACCTCATGCTGCAAGAACATCAGGGAATTGCGATTTTGCAAAACAATGGTGTTAGGGTAAAGTTTCATAGTTTTTATTTAAAGCACCTGAAAGCTTTAGGTGCCAGACTTTGCTGTTGTTCGATCGCCGAGTGAGGTTAGAAAAGCTTGCCAAACAGTCGGTGGCTCTGACTTTGTCGTTAAAGCTCAGGTAGTACTACATTAGCATCCTTTAAGTCTGAGTCTGTTAAGGTATTGGCCGGAGGACGAGGCAAAGGAACCTTTAAATCTGGACTTCAAGGAGGAGTTCACATTGTCTTTTCGTAAGTTGTTCAAATTGTCATTGTTTAAGCAATCTTGCTTTAGTCCCGAAGAAGCAGAAAATAAGGCTGGTCAAATGATTGGATCTGAACTTGTGACCCTACAGACTGGTGCTGCCGGAAAACTTTGCAAAGAAGTAATTTTTGCAGCAAGTCTCTTCAATATCTTTTTTAGTTGATGATTGTGAAAAGAATGTTTCCACGACGTGAATACTACTTCTCGATTGCTTTGGATCGGAGTGCTAGCGTATACTTAACGATAATTTATTTTATCTAGTGTTAGCTTTAGGGTCCAATGATTATCGGCTCCTCAAAGGGAGGTATGAACATCGAAGAAGTTGCTAAAACAGATCCCGATGCGATTGTCAAGATTCCCGTTGATGCTAAAGTAATTTTTGGCAATCTTGCCCATTACTTTTATTACTCATTACTTTAGATCGGAGTAACACCAGAATTGGCTAAGGAATGTGCACACAAGATGGGATTCAAGGTAAGTAACGCCGGCAATTTTAACGTTAACTCTATTGGTTACTAATTCCAGTTTAATTGATTTTTTATCTATCTTTGTTGCTTTAGGATGATTGTGCTCGCCAGGCTGCTGAACTTATTCAACAACTCTACAAGGTCTTTGCCAAATCTGATTGCACACTCCTCGAGATCAACCCAATGGCCGAAGATGTAAACGGACAAGTGTTTTGTATGGATTGCAAGGTTTACGAACAATATTTAATCTATACAAACAAAAACTTTTAGTTCTTGGTTGACGACAACGCCGAATATCGACAGCCCGAAATTTTTGGCCTTGCAAGATGAAACTCAAATGAATCAACTTGAGGTTTGTTTAATGATTACTGCTATTATCAAAAAATTCTTGATCTGGAATTAATACATTTTTAAGGTTCGTGCTGCCAAGGCTAATCTTAACTACATCAATTTGGACGGCAACATTGGGTGCATGGGTATGCTTAATCGTTTGTTTCCAATTATTTTGTTCTTTAAGTGAATGGTGCTGGGTTAGCCATGGCAACGATGGATATCATCAAGCTTCACGGAGGTGAACCGGCAAACTTCCTTGATGTTGGTGGAGGAGCAACAGTAGAACAGGTCGCTTTTTGAACCAAAATCTTTTGAGTAATATTCGCAGCGTATCAATGCTAGTGTTTTAGGTGTCAGAGGCTTTTAAAATCATCACCGCCGACAAGGATAAAGTGGATGCTATTCTCGTGAACATTTTTGGAGGAATCATGCGTTGCGACGTTATTGCTCAAGGAATCATCAAAGCCGCCGAGGAACTTAAACTTAAATTGCCGATTGTTGTTCGGCTTCAAGGTTGTTTGTTGGTTTCAAAAGTATACTGTGTTTTTATAGGAACCAAAGTGGAAGACGCAAAGGCTTTGATTGCCACTTCGGGCCTTAAGATTTTGCCTTGTGACAATTTGGATGAGGCCGCTAAAATGGTTCGTTTTTGGGCGGTTTTTTTAGCCTATTATAAAATTATAAAACGGGATTTTCAGGTGGTGAAGCTTTCAAATATCGTGCAATTGGCCAGGGCGGCGTCGGTGGATGTGAAGTTTGAGTTATCGATTTAAAAGGAAAATAGGTTTTTGTTTAGTTTTCGCAAACTTGCACCGTAGTTTCAGCTAGAATTTCATCCTTTTGCATTATCACTTCCTCCTTTTCTATATCCAAATAGGCCTTGCGCACACAAATGTCAAATCCCGAGTGCATCTCTTTTGCCAATCGTTGTTTTGTACATTTTCATGGAGTTTTACGGCTTTATAGGCAAGTTCATTTTTAATCATATGTATTGGCAGAAGATATAAATTGATATATCTATGTATGTGCAAACAATAATGGATTTTGAATGGATAAATTTATGTAAATTTTTGGCTTGAATCACAGTGAAATTTCGAAAATGGTAAAGACCCAGAAAAATTATGAGCACACAAAGCTATACAGAAATTTCATAAATCATAGCCATTGTTCCCGTCTTGTTGTGGTGTTATTTAAAGGTTTGATATGAGAAAAAGCTACGGTCATTTAGCCTAACAATATGTAAAAATCTAAAAATAGATAAAATGAAATAAAAACAAATGAGGTCATCATTTAACCACGAAATATACTATCCAGCAGTGATGAATAAAGTCACAGAACCTGTAGAGAAAATACAATAAATTGCAGACACTAGTCTCTAGAAATGCTAATGTTTTCCCGTGAATTAGCACGTATCCGAGAGGGATCATCAGTTTGTTGTGGTGGCGATTGGGTGAGAGAATCATTGAGACTTTGTGGAAGCGGGTTATCGACTCCCGCATATTGTGGAAGAATCTAAATTTTATTGACATTAGGTTTTTCTTGGGTCATGGATAAGGGAACAGTGTGATGGTAGAAGAAAATCAACATGCACCAATCAAGGGAGAAGTAATTGTTTGCATACGGAAAATGGTAATATCCGGTTGTATCCCAACTCACTCATAAATTTTCATCACTTGCATGGTTCTTTGATTTATTTACTTGATTCTAAACAATGACCCGGATACAGTATACCTTGTGGATATAACCGGATAACACCCAAAATCTTGCTCAACACTCAATCGAAAAACCTTAAGGTACGATGCTCGTTTCAGCTGGAATTGTGGCAAAACCCTGAAATTATTATTGAGCAACTGTTGCACAATTCAATCATTCAACGAATAGCGGAATTCAACTCACTTCCGCGTTTCGATAGAAGGCATAATGTTGCAAAAGGAACACCACGTCGAACACCATCGAAACCATGCCGAGACCGAATTTCACCGGATTTCCATAGAAAGCCGACCAGTCATCGACATTCCACGCTTGGAGAACCTTGAGAATTGTTGAGGGATTTTCTCGATTTCTTTACCATTTGCATCACATCGAGAAGTCCACCCGTGAAATCCAAAAGCACGTTGCCGATCGACCAGCCAACGGTGCTCTTTCGCTTGTAATTGTAGACAGCCTGAAGCGTTATTTGAATGATAATCCGTCTGTTAATGATCAGTCTAATTGGCGGCAAATATTCATTCAAATGTAAATCTTCGAAAGCTTTCAGTGATTCTCTACGAAATCAATGTATTTAAAAAACCTGTGGGAAATATTTCATGCATGTGACGGCCATCTTTATGTAGGAGAGTGAGGTGACGAATTGGAGATAGGTGATGACACTGATTAGTGAAAGGAATAAAGCGAGGAAACCCAAAACAACGAGAGCACCGCCATAGAAGATGAAACCCGGATGGACACGTTGGTTTTCTCGCTGAAAATTTAACGATACAGATGAGTGTTTGTGTTACGGCTTGTAGGCTGTAAACTTTTTCAAACTATCGCTCAATATGCAAATTTGTCTTTTACCTCTTATAGTTGACTTTATTCCTAAAAATTAGACGGTTTTTTTCTAGTTTAAGCTAATGACCATCATCTATATCCCTGGAATCGATCGCGTAAACCCCCAAAATTATATTTATTCTACAGTTTATGGGGTAAAAAAACATTTGACTTACCGTAAATATTGTAATGGTACCCCACCCCCATAATGACGGTGCGGAGTGTTGCGTAGTCTAGCTTTGAACGAGTTTTTCTCGACACTGATTTATGCTACAATGCTTGCTTAGGTATCAAAAAATAGCCCTGAATTTCAGCTATTTTTTGATACCAAAGACACATTTTTTGAAAGTACGGGTGCTTTGAAAAAATGAAATACTAAAAAACTTTTGCGACTACGCGACTGTACCCAGGGGGGTGGGGTACTATTACAGTATTTACGGTATGAATTATCGTTGTGAACGTCAATAGGTGTCCAACGGAAATACCATACTTTGGCCAATTTCACTCGAATCTTTTTGTCTTTCATTTCAATCGATAGACAATGAAATTCTCCGTCAATTGATAACAAAATCAAAAAGATCCGAGTGAAACGGCACGAGATATGCCAGATTTTCGGTTGCACGCCTATTGACGCTCATACTGATCTGTCTAATAGGCTACTTGAGTCAAGAGGATTTCCCAAGTTTAGTAAACATTTGCTGAAACCTCGTAAAGACACGCTTGCACAGCGGTGATGAGACAAGCGGCGAGAGCGTGAAGCGCGAAAATCACATCATTCAGTAGAACGGGAAGAGGACTTCTTTCGTGAGCTGATAGATATTCATTCTAGATTATTTCTATTGTTATTTTTGTCATTAAAATGATCTCTTCTACTTGCACGGTCCGTGTCCCAATAGTGCATTGAATTGTAGATCGTGTACGCGGAGAAGCCGATAATGTTCAGGAAAAGGAAATCGAAATTCAGCCCGACAACACTGGAAAAATTTTTTTTTTGGTTGTCTTTGGCTGAATATCTTGTCTCAAATCTGTTAGGGATTACGGTAAAAACCTTTTTCTTTGATAGTTGAGGATCATTTGCGGATAAAATGAGATACTCCATGCAAAGAAGTACGCCCAGCCGACGACAACAATGAGCACGTCGGTGAAATGACTCTTCATGATCGAAAGACGAGTGTAAGCTGTCGTAAAACTGAAATTATTGCCTTGTTCCCCATTCAATTAGAATTTGCTTTGAATTTGCTCACTTGAATCCACAAGCTGTCCCATTGATCGTCGTGCAATTGATCACCTCGACGATTGTCCGTGCAATCACCGCTTTCGGCTGTACACCGAATTTCACTTCATCTTTCAATTGAGTAAGAGAAACCTGAAGGGATTTGGTATTCTCTTACTCTTATTCTCTTCTTGGTATTTGGTATTGTGCAGTATTCTTTCTATAATCCTTTTTTTCTAAACCTTTCTCCTTTATTATATCGCTGTTTATACAGTAAATTCTTTTCTAAAAGGCGCGCATCGAAAAAGCTACCGTACTCCGGTTGTCGTTTTGAATTTAGGCTAATAATAAGCTCATTCCTGGATCACTTTCAAGATCAGGGTTATTTTTAAAAGCTATTTTTCCGAGCTTCTTAAAATCCCTTTCTTTTGCTTTCATTTATTTACCTCATTCGTCGTGTTTACAAAATCGTGATCCGATTTGATGATGAATTTGAAGGTTTCATGGGGGATCGTTCCTCTGAAAAAGAGACTTTGCATTTTCATTCCTCTGTAAACACTCGGCCAGTCCGGCTGTTCCTTTTCGATGAAAGAAAAGTGGATGTTTTAATTACTAGCAAAGGTAAGTGAGCGAAAGGGTTTCGTATATATTAATACGATTCTAGGTTGAACATTTAATGAAAGTGAAACGAACCGAATTTCGTCCTCCTCCACAAGTAAGATATAGTCTTTATTTCTGGCTTTGCATAGTAATTTCAGGTAGATTCTGCGGTTGTTCGAATCGCTCCCCGAAATCCACCACCACCGCTTAACTTTGATGTAAGATCTAGCTACTTTAGTTTACAGTCTATATTAATAGGAATGGGAGGGCATGTTACGCTTATGTTTTATGCGAAAGAACAAGACGATTCTCTCCATTGTGCGCCTTTCGAATGTAAACGACTTGCTTGAGGAGAACTATCGAAGAGTTTGCCGGATGAAAAATAAAGTTAGTTTTGATTCAGTTTCTTGTGGATAAAGAATTTAGGATATTCCGGAGGATCTCAACTTCACCGAATTGATCGAGAAGGCGCTCACCGAATCAGGTTTTGCGGAGAAACGAGCTCGATCGATGAAAATTGACGAGTTTCTTCAATTGCTCATCATTTTCAATAGAATCGGTGTACATTTTCACGTTTGATTTACTACTCTTAACTTTTTAGTTGTTGTTTTCATGTTATTATGGTTGTTTTTTTGTTATTGTTGATTCTTCATAAAGTTTATGCCAGATTTCTATAACGATGTAAAAGAAACAAAAAACGAGCACTACTCGAGGATAGATACTAAACAGTTCTTAAATTGAGATCAACGCATAATCGGAAATTTGACAAATAATATCAATGGACAAAGACGTGCAACAGCAAGACAATAACCCTTAAAATCACAATCGATAAGGCACAGATATGAAAGTTGATAAAAATCAAAATGAAAAAAAAATACACTACCTAATCACAATCTTGGAAAAAACTCACATAATCACACAATCACTGTTATCATTTGATTGAGCATTCACAGTATCGATTCTTCGATCTACGCTTCTTGATCGTTCCCGTCTTCGCCTTTCTTGATTAGCCGTTGTCGGATCAAATGCTGCCCGCAGCGCTCCTCGACTATCCATTCCTGCAAGGCCCAAAGTAACCTAACTGCAACATTTACAAACCTTTCAACGGATCTCGTGGCACGATTTTCTTATTTGTTGATGCTGATTCTAAAATGATGGGCGATTACGAGAAAATGGTAAAAACCTGTGACACCATTTTGTTTTATTTCTTTGTCGACTCGATTTGTCGTCATGTCATTGTTCGAAATCGAAATTCCGCTTGCATCGGCCACAACTTCAATGTGTGCAAGGAAAACTTGGAGAATCGGCAAGTATCCGGTGCTAAATGAGGCATATATAATAACATTTAAATATTTCTTACCACATGTCTTTTGCCCAAAACATCAACTCATCACATCCGTACTTAAGTCTTTGAAGAGACGTTGTTGGTAGTGTTCGTGCAGTTGTCACATTCACGAAGTTTCTCAGACAGCTTGAATCACGGCGCAGTAAAGCCAGCTAAACATAATTAACTATTATTTAGAAGGCAAAAAGAAAACCGACCAAGAATACCCAATCAGTGGCTTGCGCCTGTTCGAAAAGGTTGATCATGTGCAACAATTGGGCATCACTTGAATCCGATCCGCGAACTGTCGCCCAGCCACACAAGAGATCGATACCTAATAAAATATTGATTAGTAAACTTAACTTAAAATTAAAATAATGTGATCAAAATTCTAATTACCCGAAATATCTTGAGCGGCTCCATTTGGAGTTCCGGGAGTGGGAAAGGTGATCGAAGAAGGCGTGGGACTCGATGTTCTTCCTTCATCATCTATTCTGGGTGTTCTTAGCTCTCTTTCACCCGATCCTTCCCCACTACTGCCTTTGCGCCCGTTTGACACTGAAATCAAGTGTAACCTTTGAAGAGTTCATAAAACTTACTTGCTGCTAACTCCGTGGGCCTGAGCGGAACATCTTGCACTATTGTTGAAGCTGTGTCTGATATCAAATCCTCCGGGAGAAGATTTTGAGTTTCTATAATACCTAGATCATTTCATTTTAAAAGTAAAAACTCGATACCTTTATTTGAAAAAGGCACAATTGGCGACGAAGGAATGGCAGGATGACTTGTTCGTGGTGTAGCTACACAATGCATAAAAATGAGAGTTAAAAAAGAACTCACTTGCTAAGCTCACGGAACTTTGGCTTGTTTTCATACTCCCGAGTTTACGCGCAAGATGATCAACTACTCGATGCCCAGCCACTGGATAAGGCCATCTAAAAAAGGGGGTTTAATATTTAGCTCTCATAGCATTAAAAAGCTCACTCGAACTGTGAATGAAGCCTTGAGATGGCGGCTGACCAATCATTGACGTTTGTTGAAACCCCCGAATTTGTAAGCAACGACACCAAATCAAAATTGAGATGAGCGCAAAAGAAACCTATTAAATGAGCAATTTTAGAACAAAAACATAAAGGTAACCTAGATCACGAATGCAATAGTCCCGTAGTAAATTTGCAGCATGCTCCTTTAATATGGCTTGCATTTGCGTTAACATAGCATTCGCTGAATTCGGTGACGGAGGTCCGAGATCCGAGGATAACGCCTATAAAAGTTTACTAAAAGTAAAAAGAAAAATTAACCTTGCTGAGTCGTCTCCCTGATCCACCACTATCTTTTCGAGTGGCTCCCGTTGGTTGAGTATCGTGGCGCATACGAGATGACGATTTTGTTGTAATTGCTAAGCAAAAAAATTCTGTATATTTTACGTAATTAACAATACCTGCTTGAAATCTCGTGACAAAGAGTTCATCATCGGCAGAGGTAGTGGTTCCTTTCCGTCTTGACGCTACTTTGGCCAGTTGTGGTGGAGGGGTCCTCGGTTGGCTTTCAATATCTTCAGCGTCAATGGAAGAAGCAAAACGAATCATATCTTGGGCCAAAGACCATTCTCCCGCTGAGAGGGCTTCTCGTAATAATCGAGCTGCTTGCTTAACAATAATATTTTACATAGAAAAAACTGTGGCTACAAACCCCAAGACTTGTATTTGTATTTTCAATGCTTTGTAACACAATAAGATAGCTGGCAGCTGTCTGCAATTCTCCATCTCGAAGGCACATCTAAAAGACGCTTTAGAAAGCATACTAACAAAATAAAAACTTCAAATGTGTCATTCGGTGAGCCGGTGACGCCAAACAAAGCTGGCCAAAGAGCGAGTTCGGTTTTCCTTGCACAATGAGCCATCGTCCGCAGATTTTCGGGAAATTTTTTTATGAAGCCGACAACACGAGGTAGTAACGGATCTGAAAAAAACGGTAATTCACCCTTGAAGATTTAAAATGCTACCTGGAATTGGTTCGCTACTTGTTGCTTCCTCTTCGAGTACTCCGTGCAATAACAATTCGAGGGCATGTGGAAAATAGGGAAGATGACGACACGATGACGCTATTTCAATTGCAAACTCGCCCAAATTCTTCTTGAGAAGTTCTTTCAGGATGTGATGTAGAAATACCTAAATGCAAAGGGTGATTCAAATTTGAAGCTAAATAAAGACCTCGCTATTTCGATGGACGTTGTAGAGAGTGGTTGAATGATTTCCTCCATAAACAGTTGGAAGACTCTCGACCCCCACAGCCACGCAATCCGAACTATAGATGACTAAAAGAAGAAATATTAAGATAATATAATTAACACTTACTAACAGGTCGAATATCAAGAGTAAATGGTAACATGTTACGTCGAGCATGGAACGACTCTTGTTGAATGTTTCCTCGGCGAGAAAGAGTTAACCACACCTAAATGAGAACAATGACAGCAAAATTCAGATGAATATCAAATGAAAACCTACTTTCATTCCTTTTGCTCCACAATAGATCCACATAGCATTCGACAGATGTTGAGCGGATCCTGTAAATTGATTTCATAACTCAAAAGTTTCAAACTCGAGTCAAACCTGCTTTTTGAGTCGATCCATGTGCTCTATCGTGCCATAAATGCTCCACAAATGAAGCAACCACTATCGGCTGACTCAGCTGCAAGTAAAAATATGAAAACAGTTAGCTTGCAAGGAATAACCTGAAACTTCACGTCCTCATCTGTATCGGTGGGCATATGTCCTTTCGGATTCAAAGTAATTAAGCGACCGGAAACATTCACGAGAACAGTGTCGACGCCTCGAACAAAAAATGAAGACTCAGGGACTGAAATATTTTTGCCTTTTGAAAGAAATAAAATGCTTACCATGCATATTCTTTGGTTTGTCTTGTATCAACTCGGTGACATGAATAGAAACTAAACAAGCCGGGTGTGGAATCAGATCACCAACACGAATTTCTGCCGCTTTTTCAACTGCCACTCTCACATAAGCATCCGCAGACTTTGAGCTCTGCAGAAAATACAGTTGTGTTGCATTCCTTATTTCATAGCTCTTACCTGACTAGCGGTCAATCGGAATAGAAGGATCCTCGATTCGACATCAAATGTCACAAGGCAATCTTCGCTGAAGCAGGTAAGGGGTAATATTTAAAGGGCAAACAAGTGTGAACTCACCGTATGTTTAGAGCTAAAATACGAGCTTCAGTATCATATTCGGAGCAATATTGATTATCCAGTTTCGTATTCAAGGGATAAAACCTACATCGGTATTCGTCTTCTCCGCAAAAATTATTTATACCGTAACAACTCTGCCGCTCGCTCGACATTACAGCACGCAACTCCAACTGTCCCTTTCCAAATAAATACTCCTCCTGTGGTGATAAGTTCGCGTTCCTACAAAATATAAATTATTACATTTACCGAAAATTACCCACCTGTGATTCATTCCCAAAAATTTTCCATTTTCCAGTTGCCAAATTTCCATGTGCAAATCCATGAGTACCAGCTATTACAAGGAAACGGGCCTCTTCACGATCAATGGAAGCAAACTACAGAGGAACAGAGTTTCAAGACAGCAAAAGAATTTTTACTCTGATCGGCCAATTATTTGCGAGATACTCATTATGCGGGGTTAAAGTTGTCCAAACAGAGTGTGGTGCAGATGCTAGAGGTTCACGTTCCCTTGCCGGCGATAACAATAACTTTGAAGAGCCAATCAAGAGAACGCGAGACGAATGTTCCTATACAATTTTGGGTCATATAAGAAAGAATAAAATCATACCATTGTAGGATTATTTATGGAAGCGTTGTGAACGATAGGCAAAAGAGATAAGCCGGTTGAACGAGCTATCCATAGATGTAGCCCTTCTGCTCCCCATTCTACACTCATTAACGATCCCATTGGAAGCGGCCTAAATCATAAAATTCATTTTTTTCGACGAAATTTATTTTCTAGTTTCTTTCTTTTGCTAAATCAGCTACTTACACGCTGTAGGAAGCTTCTAGTGAACACCAAGTCTGTCCGCCATAGGCACTGAATATTGCAAGTGCGGGAGTCGTCGTCTTGCTTTCGTTTTTCTAAAGATGATTACACAAATTTAGTTGGACAATAAAATGAAACCATTGGGGATTTGTTTTTGGGACCCCATATCACGGCAAAAGCGGCTCCATTTTGCAGAACGTTGATTCGACGGACCGGGCCAAGCCAGTTTAATAATT